AGAATTTTCTTCAACTACAGAGACTTCAGCTGCTTCATCGTTACCAGAATTCACTTCAACTACATCACTGTCTTGAGATACTTCCTCATTAGCACTGGCATCGGGTGCATATTCATCATTTTCAGTTTCTGTTATGCTTACAACCACATCAGCGTCTTCTAGGGCGTCTTGTAGTTCCAAGTCTTCATTAAAATTTTCTGCATGAACCAAGCTATCACTTAGTTTTTCCAATACTGTGTAATCATCATTTTCAGCAGCGACAACTTCTGCCGCCCTTTCTAAAGCTGCAGAGTCAGTTTCCGGCAAAGTCATGCCACTGGCAAATCCAGCCAGGACCTAAATATGGTTATCATTTTAGTATAAAAAAAAAAAAAAAAACTTTTTTCTTTTTTATTTAAAATTATTCTGCATACATACCAACACAAATATTAAATTATTCCACTTCATTGTTAACACCGTTCACGTTGTACCGCTGTCGTTCGTATACTTATAAGATTAAATGCTACTTGATTGCAATTTATAGTGAAAAAATAACTATTTCTATTTTACATCTGCCGTTAAAATGAATACGAGAGGCAGCAAAACAACAAAAACAACTTTATCTTATTTAAATATTAAAACGATAACCAAATCATTACAATTATTTTCCGTTCATAAAAATGATCTGCGTAAATCTTGCACACATCAACACATACATACTTGTGCATGTAAATCTAGCAAAACATGAGCGATTGTTATCAGAAATTTTACTTAAATCTACTTAGATTTTTATAACATTTCCGTTTAACTTTTTAGATATTCGATGATGACATCATACAGAAAAAGAAGGCCGCCACCACCACGTCGAATCGTGTTTCAGTCGACATCTCGGCCTCGTTGGTGGCACATTCCTGGCTGTTTACTTTCTTGAAAAGGCTGCATTTCAAACAGATCATCTCCTTAATCCCATTGCTGAATCGCATCCGGTCAAGATATACGATTTCACAAGGCTGGTTACCTTCAAAAAAAAACTTTGATGCACGGAATTGATAAAATTGAAAAATCATGCTACATCTAGTAGGTCGAAGAGGTAAAACAGGCAAAAAGCCACGAAATAGACTTATACGATTCAAATTTATGCCACGTAACTTTTATATCAAAACATTAGCGATTAGATCTTTTGGATTAGATCTTAAAGGCTTCAAACTTCTGAGAATCCTTAGATGCTTGATCCAAATACGGTAAGATCGATTTCTTTGTCAATTTATTGTTTTGATCCAATGTTGACCATGAAATATAGAAAATTAAACCTTTTTAACCCGTAAAGATCACTTTCCATAATAGCAGTTATATGCGACGAATCAAATTTTTGTCAAACTATTTTTAGCCAGCGACTTTTGTCAAGCAATTATGAAAATTGCAATACTTTTTCCATATGACGACATTTCAAAATGAGCCGTTACAGGAAAAGTGGTCAGGGAAATAGACCGATCCGAGCCATTTTCAATATCATTCTTGCTTAGGTTAAGTCACGTACCAAATGTACCGAATTTCCTTAAAATCTCTCAAAAATTGCAACCTGTAGCTTGAACACAAATTTACATGGACAGGTATCAGACGGACAGGGAAGCTTAGTACAATTCAGAAAATGATTCTTGATCGATCAATATAATAGAAGGTCAAGCGTTTCTGAGTGCGCCAAACTCTGTTCCACAAACCAGATATAGATAGTGGAACGAAAGCACACGAGGAAAATACGGAAAAAGGTGCCCAGAGTACAGTGTCAGTAGAAAAGGAAATGTAACATGTGTGAAGCAACCAAAAGTCTTGTTTTTCTCGTACTCTCGTAGACTCGTGAAAGTTAAAGAAGTAAAAAAGGGAAAAATAAATTACGGAAAGGGAGAAAGGGCAATAAGATAAAATTGTACTCCGAATACAAGATCTGCAGGAAATGGCACTTTTATCCGCCTAAATTACCCTAAATTTTTTCATTTCGTACGTACAACCACAAGTAAGGGGGGCGTTATGTTCGATTCGCTTTGAATCTTAATCTTGAGAATAATGTTCACAACTTATCGTTCTGATGTTTAAGCAATATTTGCAGACCGCATGGACGACAAGCGGATATGATTAAACAGAATCACAATTTTACGCTGATCAAGATATGATTTTTCGCTTCTCGCTTTTCGCTACTCAGACACATAGTATCTTTCCGAAGCGCTTAAGTTAGGCGCGTTTATTTTCATCTAGAAACTGCGTAGTCGATTCAGATCGATGTCCCCCGAACGTTTTTTTATGTTCCCAGAATAAGCGGAGGGGAGATGAAATCAAATCGTTTCCCGCGGTGAGAAGTTGCACAACCCTGATGTATACATAATGCCGATGAATACCGTTATGCAAACCACACATACATAACTGCCTCAAATAATATTTCTCTTTAATTAAACTAAGTCAACGAAAGCAATTCATAAAATACCGCACGACTGTAATGGAAGCAAAACATAATTTTACTACAGACTCTTCAAAAAGTTATAAGAATCCTCCCACAGCATCTAGGCAACGGTTGCGAATATTCACTTTCTTAATTCTTAATAATTTATTATCGAATCTATTTATTATGAAATTCCAAGATTCTACGATGAGAGTTTTTTTTCTTTTTGCGCCTTTCGAAAGAGCTGATAACGTTGAGTCTGCCGTCGCCACTACCAGTGTCACTCTACCACACTCTGGTTTAATCAATTCCTTTATTAATCGATTTTTCTGCTGCATTCGGGGCTGCGATCGTAACCCGACACCTTGCCCATAGGCGCATACATAGCGAACAGACGTGTGCTAAATGGATTCCGTCATCGTCTACTACGCAACAATATTTATGTACTTTATAGGATCTCTAACGCATATTCCAGCGGCTTAGAAATTTTAGTTTGATGTATTATATAATTTTTGTGATGTATATATATATATATATTAATAAGAAATCGGAAGGGGAGCCTTTTACCCGCTGATCAATTGTTCAACTATAATGATGACGATCTTTATTAATCATAGTAGGTCTTGTATACCAAAACTGATTGACAATAAAAAATTATATACTTAATCTATTTCCAAATGGCGTTGATCTACTTGCGGACGGATAGAATTGCATTGCGCAGAAATGCCGCCCGCCATATAGAGGCGATAGACCAAGCAATTTATATGAATTAGAATTCGTTCAGTTCAAGGTTTACGGATAATCATCTAAAATACGTAAGAAATAATAAATGAATTTTGTAATAATATTCATTAGAGATATTAGCACTTTTATTGAGGAGAAGAAAACAAATATCAGGAGTAAGGAGCCTTAAAATGATTACAATTACCATGTGTAATATTTGACTTTCTAAGCCGCTTTCAACGAAATCTTCATAATTGATTAACAAAGACAATTAAATACACGTTTATCGTTTGGGAAATTTACGTTGCGTGTGTTACGGGATAAAATATTTATAAAATAATAAAATCACTTGAAAACAAAAAAATCTGCCCCACAGAAAGTAGATATAACCGCTAATAAATTATAGTAATACCTACAGATATGTATGTATAGCGCAAGTTAAGTATAGCTCGTGATCGAATTGATACTGGGCTCTATTCCATTACTAGTACAATTCAAAAATATAATCGAAATGTTTACAAATTAAATAAAATAATTTTAAAAATTATTGTTAAAAAGAGGTAAAGACATCCTAATGAATCACGATGACTTTTTAAAATAAAATTTTATGTGAGGAGTGGTTGAAAAAGTGATCCGATTCAAGCCATTTTTAATAGCGTTCGTCCTTGGGCCTAAAACACATTAATGTAACAACAAATTTCATCGAAAAGTTTCAAAAATTCGTGGCCTGCAGATTGAACACAAGCAAACAAGACAGATAGACGATCAGACGGACGGACAAGCTTGGATTGATTTAGAATAATTTTCTAAATTGATCGGTGTAGTAAAAATTGAATCTATGTCAAGCCCTCCTGCATGCTGCATACATCCACACAAACTTAATATACAACTTGTACAACAACAAGTAATGGGCGGTATAGTCATATTCTGCGAAACCTAAATCGAATGCTCCTATAAATCCACTTCCACTTTATGCAAAATGCTTTTTAAGTAGATTTTTACTTTTTTTCAGTTTGGCAAAATATAAAAATCAAAGGCAATTAGATATGTGATAGATATGGATAGTCTAACAATTCATAGTTCAATTCTAACAATCTAGATTGATCGAATCGAATCGAATCAAATTGAATCTCGAGTCGAAGCGATGATCGAACGCTTTAAGTTGCTAAAATGCTTTAAATGCAATCATGCATTTTTTCCCAACTAACGGAATAATAACGGGATTAGAACTTGAACGGCTTTTTATTAAAGTAAAAGAGACGATGCTCATTTCCGTCCACTTTAAAAGCAGGGATTAGCCGTCAAAGATACGTTTGCTAGACGTTTTCCACGTCCGTAAAATCGTCAATTGTTTTGTAATCCTTCTGACATTTTCATGATAATTGCGGGATTTTATATTGATATTAGAAATATTAGGATCAAAATGGGAAGTGAACAATATAGTGTTAAACTCTTCCACTTCTTTGATATTCCTCCGGATATGGGAGCGAACTTAAAGATCGCAAGAACAATTCGTTCTAGTTTCCTGACAAAGCACTTTATATGACGGTTCAAATTTATAGTGCATCGCTCGTCCATCTTTCTAACATGTTGGACCAATAAAGTGCAATAACTGAACATAATAATCACGACGAAGCTTTCATCATAGCTCTTAGCCCAGATTCTTTTCGCGTGACGAGTCTCTCCGACATCGTTTACCATCAGCTGTCTTAGCCCAGGGGATGTTTTACACCAGACACCAGAAACGTTTAAACTATGTCTCAGATTTCTGCCACGTGGAGCAGAATGCCCTTACACGGCAGCTCATCCATCGTGCAGTATATCTTGCAGTAAGACTGGGTGCTGTTCGTAACTTTTTCGTTTTCCTTTCTGCAGTAATAGCTTTTAAGCGTAAAGCTTGTTGATAGTCGTTACGGATCATTTGGATAGACCTATCAATTTTAGAACAAAATAATGAACAAAAACTTTGACTTAATCGTAACTTACATTACATTTGTGCAACTGGTAAAAATAACATAATTCATAATACTTTACGCACTCAAATAGCGATCCATTATATTAGAGCATAGACGTAGCGTACTAATAAAACATCGATTTCAAAAAATCGTATCGGGTATGATGAAGCGGAAGATCTTTTTATTATTTATTTATTGGATAAAAAATATTATGAAAATAAATTAAAGAATGAACTATAAATATATTTGAAGAGAGAAAAGAAAGAATGAATGTATGAATGAATGAATGCATTGCTAAAGCGGCAATCTCCTCCGCCAGATATAATCAAAACCCGATAACGCTTATCAAAACCTTCTCATATAAATAACGTTGTTGATATTTTTTTCCCTATCTTTCTCACTTTCTCGTTCTCTCTCTTTCTTTCTTTCTCCCTTTCGCTCAATCATTCTCTCAAGCACATGCTAAAGCTAACGATTCTTTCGAATTGTGTAAGGTAGTTTATGAGCAGTTGCATTTCAAAATCAAGTGTTCGGGTGGAGAGTTAATACGGCACTAAAGCGGTCAACCAATCCCGCTTAAGCTCAATCCAGATGGAAGGCTCTTCTTATTCGTATTCTGCAAATAATATCTACAGAGGGGAAACACGCGATCCCTTGCAACGTAACGTTTTAGAGAGCACATCTCTATTAACTGGCTCAAGTGGCGGTAGCGGCACAGTAGTCGGTGCCACCGGCGGTGTACGACGTCCTGTTACAGCAACAGTAGCTACCGCCGGCGTACAACGTAGACGAGTGATTAAGAAGCACATACAGCAGAAGTATATGTTGTGTGGTTTTGTAATACATGTGTGTATACAGATTGAAGAAACATTCATTCATACATGACATGAAAAATATTTAACTCATTATTAACGAAATATTTGAATTAAGGGTGTATGAGTGTAATGTTTGTGTTGATAACGAAAGAAAACAATTGTAAGCAGCAGCATACGTTAGCGTATGTAAAACTTATATATATATATATATATATATATATATATATATATATATATATATTGTTTATCAAAATAGAATCTACCACTACCGCTATCACTATCACTATCACTGCCACTACCACTGCGCCATGCGCCCTCTACAATGTTATTCTTTAATTAAGGCGCGCTCTGTTCTTCTTCCTTCATTTCCTTTTAGGCTTTCCTAGCTACGCCTGCGTATTTGTACGGTAATGTCGTTGAATCCGATAAAGATCTGGTATTACGTATATGGCCGGCGATTGTTTATCAAGCTACCGGTCAGTTGTGCCGCAGCATATTGGAACGTCTAAACACCGAATATCACGGTCGCACAAGGGAGACTGTCAAATATCGTCACGTATTCCTATTGGCAACTTTAATCACTTGCTGTTCTTTAATGATTAGCGGCATATTCTTTTCATCAGCTTGGGTAACGGTAACGACAACTACACAGACTATAGCCATAGTATTCTATGGATTCTTCGCAGGTACATTAGCGGAAGTGAATAGAAATTTTCCGGTAAATTTATTTCAATTTTTCTCATTGCCCTTTCACGTTCTTTTAGGCATCGGCTCAAGTTTATTTATTTGGAAAACTCATGTTATATTAGAAGCTGTCCGCCCACGAGAGGATAAATTTGTACGCAAAACGATACATTTGTGCGGTGAAGCTTTCTGTCAATTGTTCCTTTCATTTGCATTCACAAATTTGCGTACCCTTTATGGTACGGCTCAATCTATTGTTTTGATGTCCGCCCTACTGGTGAATCTCATGCCCATAAGTCTCATTATTACACGTCATCGGGAGGGCGCTATTACTCAACGCATATCCGTTATAAAAGCGGAGCCATCGTTTACGCCATTACATCATCAATTGGGTAGATTTCCGAGCAGTTTAACTGATCAATTGGACGGCATAGAAATGCGTACATGGAGAAATCCCATAATTGAACATAATAATGTTACAGCAATTGCTTTGGCAGCAGCAGCTGTTGAAAATCGCCATTACATGTTACCCACAGATGAGATGGATGTAACTTTTATCAATCCAAACGGTGTGGAAATCATGGAAATAATACCTGAAGAAGATGAAAACCTATCGGTCATTCGTTCTAGTTCAGCTACCATAGAAAATTATGGTAGAAATAGTGTAGAAGCCTCACAATCAATGAATAAATCGGCATCGAACGGCTTACAGATGAGCAGGGACGCGATTATGATCCCTGGCTTTAGTAATTTAGTAAGTGTAAGATCGTTAAAACAAATTTTCAATTATTCACTGATCGCTATTATATATGTACATGTATAGGATAAATTACAACAATTTTCTCGTGATGTAACCACTCATTTATGGTCAAATCTTTTAGATAAAATAGTGGTGCCTTTACATAAAGCTTTACTAATACCGAAATTATATTCAACGACATTCCTTTTGTCTGCCGATATATTTTCTTATGTGATGTGCTTAACAGTTTTACCCGGACTGGCGGTTAGCCATCATGCGATTAAAAATGCCGAAATTCCATTTCTCTTCTCATTGCTGGCCTTTCCATGGATGTGTTTCTCATTGATGACACCGCGCTTCGGTAACAGCTTATATAAGCATAAATTTCAATGGCATACTTTGGGGTGCACATCCAAAGGCTTAGCTTTAATATGTAAGTAAATGCGCGATTACTATGCAAAATTAATTAAAGTTAAATTTAAAATTTTTATTTTCAAGTTATTAGTTTTTCTACTTCAAAACTACTATTAAGCGTTTCGGCAGCATTGCTGGGATTCGGGCAGTCGGTCACACTGTTTCTTCAAGACTGGGTATTACAGATGAGTATGCCTCACTCGCAATGGTGTGCAATACGTTTTCCGGTTCATTTTACTAACGGTTTATTGATTCTGGTATGGGGTACTTTGGCTCATTGGGTCGTAGTAAATTTATCCTTTCAAGCTAGTGTAGGCTTAGCAGCAGCTCTTTACGCAATCAGCATAATATTATGGAATTTAATATTTATATGCTTTAATTGTAAAAATCTTACCAAAAATTCATCTTAGTGCGAATTTACGCCAGTATGCTGCTAAGCTAAATTCTTGTTTTATTTCTAAATACATATATATTAACATATTTTATATTATATAAGAAATTAATTTTTGGTTTTTGTGAGCCACTTTTTTCTATACCCTATACCACTCGTGGTACAAAGGTGCGGATATGTACAATAGTTAAAAGAACTTGAGATAATAGCAATCGATTGGGAATCATTTGCTGAATCGATCTAAGCTTGTCTGTCCGTCTAACGTTTGTTATCCATCAATACAATTTTTGTGTTAATTTGCACGAACGCTACTGAAGGTGGTTCGGATCGGCCCACTTTTTCAACCCCTTTTTCAAAATAAGGCAAAGAGTTGCAGTTTTCGCCGAATAAGGCAATTGCAACATTATAAATTGATTATAGGGAGCCATTTTTTGAACCTCTGGCCTAACTTGCAATTCTTCTTAATGAAAATTCGTTCACAATACTAACTTGACAGTAAAAAGTAACCCTACTGAGTTTGGAGCAGGAAGGTCTATTTTATGAATCTCTACCCATATATGGTTTCTAACGGAAAACAAGATTTTATATGCTAAAAATGCCTTATTTTTAATATTTTATGATGAAAATTGCTCCCTATTAAATCAACTATAGGGAATTTGGATGATATAGATTGTATTTTGTAAACCGCATTATATATAGAGGCGCTTACGACAGCAAATCCTTCAACGGCGATTAAGCTTATTTAGGGGACGAAAGCGCAACTGGAAAAGTAAATGAAATTTACTAAATTTAGATCACGTAGACGTTTAAGTATCCGCCAATATGAGACCTTTAATGAAAATTATGCATTTACATAAAAGTAATGTATAATTTTCGGTGTATTGTTAATTAAGCGAAGTGTTGTAGGGTGTCTGATAATCGACCTTGCACTTGACTATAGCATGTTGGTTGTTTGTTTTAAAATGTCAATTTCAATTGCTTTGCTTTTGGCATATATTACTTATGATATATGTCTTAAGCAGCTGGAACGAAAAATTTCAATTATCGAATGCAAAGCATTGTTGTCTAAGTAAGCCTTATTTTAAGCATTTTGGTTGAGGAATTAAAAAGAACTTAACGTTGCAATGCGATCCTAGAATTGTTATTTTTCAGCAAGGCTATGGTTCACGTTTTAACGCGCTACATAAGTGGGAAGTGAACAAAAATAGATAAGCGGAGTGTGAAAGCCGCTCGGTTTGCATCGACGTATTTATTTAATACCTCAAGTCTATTCATTAAACGTACAAAAATTTGGTGCAAATGCTTAGAATTTGAAATCCTTTCAAATTACTTTAGCCTCATCAATGTTTTGCGAATGTTTTTTGTTCGTAGGAAAATACGTACATCCTCTTATGTCTTAAAACGATCGGACACTTTTTGTAATTTGTAGTCCTTTTACTTGAAGCTACCGCGAAACAGTTTACATTTGTGATCACAAAATAATTAAAAACAAGAATTTTGTTTTACATTTAAATCGACGACTATGTGTATGTGTTACATATATCTAATGAAAACAATTCTGCATCTGTTGAAAAAGCATGTTTTTCGTGCTTTGCTTACTGTACGTAAACAAACGTAAAAAAATGAAAGCACCGAATATATAAAAATGCAGAAAACTTAGCAATTATTTTGGCAAATATGCATTGTGCGAACTTCTACATCATATATCATCATCACATTTATTCGTTTTATTCAGCGTCTATTTGTTTGAAGGACGACTAACTATTACCAGTAACTGTGGCCATTGCATAATTGCGCCTTTTTTTTTTTAATATACACACATGCTTGCTTACGCGCATATATATACTTTGTTTCTTTCCACACTAATAACAACCACGAAACAAAGAAATCATTTTCAAACAAGTGATATAACATAAAATTCCCTATTAAAGTGTGATTGCCAGAAACCTATCAACCCTAGTTTTTATTATGCAGTGTTGGTTAAAATAGCAACAAATTTTTTACCTATAAGCCGTGAAAAATTTATGAAAAGGTTTATCAATAATCTTAGACTTAGGAGTTAGAAAATGAACAAAAAATTTTCACGAAATTATGTTACAGCAAGATGGCCTTTTAAATAATCTATTTATAAAATTATATCTAAAGCTTAAGTCAAATGGAAAAGCTTTTAATTTAATTTCCTGGAAAAGTTTTCACTGAAGCGCTTTAATGTTCAGTTTTTAATATTGAAATTTCTTGTTAATGAACAAAAATTTCTTTTGCAATTTATTTAGTTTTTACTAATTGTAATAAAAACCCATAACTTTTTCAAACTTGGAGAATTTTTTGCCCAAGCTAGGTACAATTCGTTTCATACTACACAAAGAGTTTGTCAGTATTTTTTCGGGCGTAATCCCTAAAATGTATTTAGAAATTTATTAGAAAATACCTTGAAATGGACAGTATAAAACTTCTGGTTGGTTAAAGAAACAATATTGTGTTTTTAGTTAATTGGAGTGAGATAGAAGTTATACAATTGACATCTAAATAATTTTCCAATTCATTACAGGGTTGCATGTCCATTTTTATTCCTAAAGATTATCTTATAAGCTAATAAAAATATCTATTGCGCATTTTTGCAAATCAAGCGTAAATAAATTAAAATGAATGTTTATTCGCTGCATTCTGCATCATTATCGTACACGATACAATTTTGCTTATTTTAAGAGGTTTCTCATTCATTTTAATCAAATAAAAATTTTCATTGACGCTTACAAACAATTTAATTGATAAGAGTTGCAAGAAATAAGTATTAAGAAAAGCAACCTTGTTCATGCTGAATACCTCACATTATAGAAGCGGAATTGCGGCCTTTTTTCTTTTTTACCGAAAAAAAAATCTTGCAAGTTATTCTGCAAAAGTGATTTTTGTGAAACGAAAAATTTTTAAGCAAAAAATCTTCAGATTGTTAAAACAATAAAATTTAAAATTTCAAGCAGATTTTAAGTAAGTATTAATTTTTTTTTTTTGGCTTTGAAAAAACAAACAAATTTTGCAAGAGACGCCGGAGTGTGTTCATCACCACCACTACCATTATTGCTAACACATACGCACTACGGGGTACACGAAGAAAAGAAAGTAGAATTCACAAAAAAAAAAGAAAAGAAAAAGGAAGTAGCGTTGTTTGAAGAAACATAAAAAACGAAATCAAAATTCAACATTTTGTCAGTTTGTCGATGGCGGAGCAGGCGTCAAGAGCCGCCTTCACCCAGCTGCATTGATGATGTACATTGAAAACACGGCTCTAGACGATAACCTACATCACATACTTAACGATCGGGTTCCAAGCTCTAGAAGTCCCAATTCCACAGAGACAGAAGCCGAGTCTGCATTGATTACTCATGTGCGTGAAAACAACGAAACAGAAGGAGCTATCGAACCAGATGCAGGAGAGGAGGTCGATTGCAGTCACTTTTTCATTGAATTAGCAGATAATATAAGTACTGATTCGGACGTAGTGGTAGAAAAAGAAAACTCCCAAGAACCACAAGACGAAACCGAAGAAGAAGAATTTGAATATATACTAACTCGTGTTCCTAAACGGCGGACGGGCGCATCGACACAATCCGAGGGACAACAAAATCAAGAACAGCATTTGCTTGATTGTAGATTGGTAAGGTTTAGTTATTAGAAAGTTTAAAAATTTATATTGCAAATCTTCGGTTGGCTTTTAGCGTAACCTTTCCTTAGTTGGAACTGAAGATAAAGTCAAAAAAACCGACGGATCAGCACCCACAGCAATATCTACAGAGAGGTTTAATATACGATTGCTGAATCACTGCGCACATCCGGAAGTACGCACCCTCCGTACGAAAAAAGACTTCGAGTCTCCGCAGTATTTTCTGCAATCAGGGCAAAACGGAGTGTTGCAAGTAAATCACTATAATCGTTTCAACGAGTACGAAGGCGATCGCGATTGTTCAGATATAGAGACTTTTGAAGAAGTGTCTAACTACAATCCGGGCCAGCCAAATAATTGTTCGCGCAAACCAGACGCTTCCTCGATGGGGTTCGACATATTAAACAAGTTACGCCAGTTATTGAATTTCAATACCAGTTCCACCCATCAGTCATCAACCCAAGAAACCAAACGTAAGAGAAGGTGAGTTTGTTAAAACAGTACTTTTCTTTTATTATTATCAAAGAGATAAAAGAGCGAAGTTGAAGTGGCTCTCAATATAAAACCTCTGCAATCGTTTTTTGACTTTTTTCATTTTACATGACGACATTAGTTATATGCTTGATTGCAGATCTGAGAATTGGTCGGGGGAGACGTCTGGTCTTCATCAGATAAAATACCGAAAAGTGGAAAATCGTTTCCCCAAATTTATCAGCCAAATTCAGGAAGACGATGACTTTCGTTTTTTGCCACCATCAAAATACGACAAACAGTTATTGCTTAATAGAACCGTAAGTGCTATCAGAAGCAAACGCAACATTTTGGAGATGTCGAACGGTCGTTCCTTAACTTCTATAGGTAAATATACCAAGTTTAACTTATATTGCTTATCTTCTTCTGATGATTATTTATAGATAAACCACCGTTAAGAAAATCAATTTTTTCTGCACCAGAAATTGATCAAAAATTGATTAAAAACACTACTTATGCCGATATCGAGTTCTCTGACGATGATGAAGATCCTATTGCAGTGAAAGATCTTGATGAAAAGCCATCTTGCAGCACTGCAAACAGATCTGCACCAAAGGTGTATAACATTCCCATAAATCATCGCAATGAGGAGCGACTTAAGTTCCAGGCAAAACTAGCGCACTCTGCACCGTACGATTGGCGCACAGAAAAAGCTTTGGTACCGAAATTGTTGCCTGCCAATCATATGAGTTATGCAGACGTATGTCGTCAACAAGTACGCGGCAACATGTTAGGTCGCCGAGCTAATGGAAGCAGCATTTGTTCTTCAGAAGCCTCAACATCTAGCTCAGTTCGTGTTTTAAATGGCTTAAATCATATTCCCACCACTCCCTGGCCATCCAATTATCGTTCTATTTTGACTCAGGAAAGAGAAAATGAGGAACGCGAAAAATATAAGCAGCTCTTGGAGCAGGTAATGCCCTCCATGTATGATACAGGAGCTCCTGAAACTAAGTCCAACAATCACATTGATCCAAGACGTAAAAGATCGGCTATGCTAGTTGCTACTGCAAATTCTTCAACACGTAGTTCGCCGAGTGCTAATAGACGACCGTTGGGCCTTCCATCTATGAACTTCAGGCGTCCCCAACTTTCGTCGACTATTAATTTAGATGATGACGACGATGACGATGAACTTACTTTGGCTGGAGTGTCAAACAACAGAAATTCGGTGGCAAATAAAATTAAAGCTAAGGTGTCTACAGTCATTATAGACGACGTCAGCGATATTATAGACTTAGGTAACGATGATCGTCACACCCTATCGGCTCGTACCAACATTAAACAGCAAGATAAACCGAATTACCTGGATATTTGTAAAGGATATAAAGAGAAACCGAAGAACACTGATTTGTAAGTTTTTTTTAGATTTTATATTATGACCACACGTGGATATTTACCAATAATTTCATTTTGATATGCATGCGCTAGGCCGTTTGTGGAGCCAGTTAATACTTTGCGAGAGCAATTGAATGCTTCACCTAAATTCAAAGACAATTGGCTTGAAAATTTTAAATCGAAATGGTCTCTGCGGCGGAAGAGTCGACTCAGTGAAGTTCAACAAACTAATACTATGTGAGTTGAAATATTTTTACATTTTCTACCATATAAAAGAATCTATTTGGTATTGATTTTGACTGTAGGGTAGAAAAATTCTCTGCAGCGCGACGTGCTGCTGAAGCTGAAATACAAGAACGTTTACGTACATTTCAAATTGTTGATCCTGAGCTATTGGTAATAGATGATTTCGAAGAACCCGTCGCCGAATCGGAGCTCATAGAATTAACACAGGAGCACAACACTCGCGTTAATGCCGCTATATGTGGTCCAACGGATCAGGTTTAAAGAAAAAAACCACCATAAGTATTGCGTGTGTGCTTACGTAAATTATGCTTTCCTTTTTAGGTGTTGGTGTCGAAATTCAACCTAAATATAACCAGACGTGACATACACACTTTGTGCGGTCATAATTGGCTTAACGATGAGGTTATCAATTTCTATATGAATCTTCTCACCGATCGCGGCGAAAAGAAGAGCAAATCAAATGGTCTACCTACCGTATATGCGATGAACACTTTCTTTATACCACGTTTAATGCAAGCTGGCTACGGTGGCGTTAAACGTTGGACGCGTAAAGTGGACATTTTTACCAAGGATATATTGCCAGTTCCAGTTCACGTTGGCGGCGTTCATTGGTGTATGGCCATTATTCATTTGAAAAATCGCACTATTAAATACTACGATTCAATGGGGACTCCTAATCCGAACGTACTAAAAGCTCTTGAGCAATATCTGAAAGATGAATCGATGGATAAACGCAAACAACCATTTGACACCAGTCAATTTTTAATTGAGTCTGTACCAGACGTACCACGCCAAATGAATGGTAGCGATTGCGGCGTCTTTAGCTGCATGTTTGCGGAGTATGTAACGCGTAATAAAGAGATCACCTTTTCACAACAAAATATGGAGTATTTTCGGCAAAAGATGATTCTTGAAATTGTTCAAGGAGAGTTGCTGCAGTAAAGTCCGTTTGGATTGCTTCGCTAACTTTAACTTCTCGGTATATTAATTTGTATTTAATTCTTTAAATTGGGAATTTTTAAAAATTTTTTTAAAAGATTAAGCTACGTTGACCTCTCGCCACTAGTATCTGCCAAACTACATCTGTCGTAATTACTTGTTTTTTTTTTTTTTTTTTTCTCTTGCTTTGAGTTTAAGGTTTTTATATGCGGACTTTCGGGTTTCTGCCATTAAAAGAATTCCAAAAATTGTATAACAATGAAGAACAAAATATGTTTCAATTGAACGCGGCACCTTATCACGGAGCAACCAGGACTTTGAGATAACTCCTTTTTTCCGTTTTTATCGTTTGCACAAAAAGTAAGTGATCCAAAGTCAAAAAAAAAAAAAAAAAAAAAAAAAATAGATAAACAATAACAACAACAACCATATAACAGAGCTAAATTCGACAAAACACCGTCTCTTCAAACAAAAAGGAAAAAAAATCAACAAAAATACAACAAAATTATAAAACGATTATAATGCAAAAAAAAATTTCTTATAAAAGAGCTTTCTTATTTGCTGCACTGCAACTTAAGAACGATCAAATTTGTGAATTCAAAAAATTGATAAACATTAAAATTAAAAAGAATAAAAAGAGAGAAAAAAAAAAAAAATAAAATTAATATATATATTAAAATGTTTGCATTCCTTGTTCAAGGCAATGCGTTAAATTTAAGCTTGTGTAGATGTTTAAGTTTGGAAACAAAAACCCTTTAACTCCGGGTTATCTATAAAAATTTATCATAATATAACATTCATGATCTTATACATACAAGCATACATACATACATACATACATACATACATACATACATACACCTAACTGGAATGATATTTAAAATCTATATATATATATATTTTTTTTTTGTTTTAATTTTGTCATCAAAATAATATAATTTTTGAAAATATTGCTATACTCTCTGTGGATCCCGATCAAAATCATATAAATAAATGTATGGCGAAATTGTCCCTCAAATAAGTTTCGACAGTTTTTTGATTATCTGACGCGCTTGATATCCGAGGGCCGTATGATATCCAGTTAGTTACTTTAGTTGTTTGCCTCCGATAGACCTCCTAATATATTTTTTATTTATGGAAGAGAGGTGCGGAGGTTGTGTGCCATTATAGTATAAGACAGAGCGGGCAGATAGATTGCAGAATTGAGTTTATTCGGTTACTGTCAGTCTCTGCTTATATATGAATGAATGTTAATTTGACTCCGATTTTCCGAGAGCTGCTGCTGCTGCTGCTGTTGCTGCTGCTAACATCAGCACAATCAGCATAAAGTAAACTCGAATTGTCGCATTACGTAAAGAAAAAGTGAGAGACTAGTTGATGGTTACTACTGCCTTTACCATAAAGTTGAATTGTCCCAAGGCTGAGTTTAATCTTCGTAATGATATGATGGGCCGGTAACGGTAACATTTGATTCATTATAAGCATGACATCCTTTCTAAGAATATTTTGCAGTTCTTATAGGTGTTTCCAAGAATTTTTCATCACCGACATGTCCTGACGTCCAAAGATTTTTAACGGGAAACAATGTGAACCGTATAGATATTTACAATTCTTCTTAATAGTATCGAGCGCAGTCATATTTTATATTTATATATTCTACTACGATTATTGAATATTTCGAAGGCTTTTTTACCTAAGACTTTTCATTTGCCATCTCTTTTGCACTTTTGTTGGTTACTACTACTCAAAGAAAAAGAAAGCAGATTCTTAAAGGCAACCTCCGACGAGCCGAAACGTGATAAGGTCTACACTTTTTTTATGGATGACAAAAGCAATTTCCGGTGTTTTCAAAAACATTCGTATTTATCTCATTCACGGAAGGCAAAAAAAAAAAAAAAAGCTAAGAATCTCTGCAATTGCTAGCGATATACATATCAGAGAAATATATCATGTTATCATCTTTGAGTCAAAAGACCTTACTTATCTTTAAATCTCTTGGGCAATGATTTTGTTACAAGTATGAATGCGCAAATAAACTTAAACATAATTTTTTCCTTCACCTAATTCACTCATCCTTTAACGGTGAGGATCGAAAACTATCTAACTATAGATTTGAAGACTTTTTAAGAATAAAATTAAAAGGTCTACATCATTTTAATGAACCAAACTATCAAGAAAAAAAAATTTTTTTTTTTTCCATTTTTCTTCAAATTATAGAAACTTTTGCCCATTCTAGGTTTATCTTAAAAAACATTTAAATAAAGTGAGCAATGCGATTACAAAGAAGGAATCTATATAAACTTTAAAAATAATTTATTGCGAATTGGGCGCAGCGAGCTGGGATAAAAGACCTACCTACACAGACATTTCTATCCAAAATGCAATCAACGAAACCGTAAAAGTTTTTATAAAGGAGACACTACTACTATTAACTTTTGGATAAATTAAATATGAATTTTTTAATTTTAGTGGCACTTCTCTCATATTATTGCGGTAAATAATCTGCTAATAGATGAAGAAACAAAGGAACAGAATCGGCTAAAGGCTTGGCTGTAACACTGTCATCTTGCCTGACTGTTTCCTTAACCTGCGTGCAGTCAGCTCATTAAACGTGCAGCCAAGTCGAGACTATAAATATAAATAAATTTGGAATAAACGAACATTTATCGGTAAATTAACGCGTCCATCGCGGATATCGGATAATTTATAAGGATTTATAAAGCGTACCTCGTATCGTTTGCATAATTTTTGAATTTTTGAGTAAATCATTGTTTTCGATTAAAGACATATAGAGACGACAATGACGATTGCTCCGAGAAAGGAAGCTTTTTGAAGATATTCTCCAGTACAAACCGAACAAATAGTTGACTCTCCCCTGCGATTGGTTGATTCTGCTAAACAATCAATAAATTGGGCCAGTGACTGTTTTTCAATATCACAGGGAAAGTAGAATTTTCTTTGTTAAAATTTAATTTTTCTTATTATATCGCATAATTAGCAAAATAAAATCCGGAAAGGTGTCGATTTTTTCCACTTGGAATTACGTTTCATGTTGAATGTAAAACATTTAGAAATTGAAATTTTTGGAAAAGACTTTTCACATTCATCAATTTTTCCTTATCACCAGTTGTTCGATAACTGAGAAAGGAATAATCTTCGCACAGAAGATGTCCAGCAATTTGATAAATTGTCGCACTGAAGAATATCTTAAGTTCCAGAGTGAGAAACGCATATTTACAAGGGCAATCGTCGTCCCACGATTTCGTCAAATCCAGTCCACTTCGTTTAAAACTTCAAGCAATTCAATTTATTCGCGCATGCAGACGCTGCAAATGGGTCGTATCTACCAGAAATGTATTTAAGTTTAAGTTCTTTTCTTTTTTTTTTTTTTATTAGGTCATAGGATGACCAATTTTAAAATGAGGAAAAATCCATGCTGCAGAATACTGTATTCTTGATAATAATTATACATTGCTCTGTTTAATCCGTCGATGAAGAAATTTGTCCAGCCCTAGTCTCCAGTTTGCATTTGGCTTATGAAAATTACTTAAAGGGTAACTTGTTGCTTGCTTATCATTTAAGATATTTAAATATATATAGCGCCGATGGTGTTTTGGCCGTGACGATGACGAAGACACTTTTGCTGATGTTAAATTCATTTTTGGTAAAATTGTATATGTCACCCCGTCCAGCGTAAAAATTGCCGAGTTGTGACCAGGGATTGTTAACATATCCTTAACGAAGGCATCCATTCTGTACGCGTCCAAGGCTGTATGTCATCGCAGTTAGGGTGACTTCGACGTCATGTAAAGAAATTGTTCATTTCGTATATGATAGTCAAGTTATTTGATTCTTTCTGCTTTTTTACTGCGATCGGAGAAAAGATTTATTGAGAAAGAAGATGAACCGACCAGCCTGCATCTTTACAACCGAAGCAAAAATAAATTGAAGAAATTTTGTAACTTTCTCAACTTTATGTTACGCCCATATTGCGGATAATAGTAATAATATGTTCGTTTGTTAGGCCTTTGCGAGAAGAACTCGATGCTTCACAATAATTTAACACAACAACACTAGAACAAAAAATTTGAAAATTTGAGAACGCGCTGGATGAAGTGGCGGAAGAGTCAATCTCGTAAAGTTCACGATGATAACGCAATGTCAGCGTGCTGTCAGTTAGGAACGTTGTACTTTTAATTCTTCAAATGGTTCATTCCAAACTAATCATGATCCTTCCGAAGAGTGGTTTGCCGTAACGGATTTCATGCAGTGAACCTTAAGCACATTAATGTCACTATAATCGTTGCAGGTAGTATATAGTATAGTTTCAGTATCAAAATTCCATATGGATACAGCCGTGATACAGAAACGTGATACGCATATTTAATGTGGCCATGATTGGGTCAACGATGAGGCTATCAATTTTTGCAAGAATCTTCTCTTGCCGAGTTTGATGACAACATGGAAAGAACAATTTAAACGATTAGTCTATCGTATATGCTGTGAACGTTATCTTTATATCACGTCTCACTTACCGCCGGTCACAGATGATGTTAAGCACTATGCGTATAGAGTGATCATTTTTAATTATGGGTTCTTTACTATGCATATTGCATTCTAGCAACTATTGGTGGCTATCGTTCGTTCGACTAATCGCAATATTGAACGCTGTGACGACTCGATGCTGCGGCGACTTCTATATAGATAAATAGAAATATTAATGGTATTTATACAAAAATTTAAATTTCTTAATTACTTATTCGAAGCACTACGTTAGACATAAGTTTGTGTAATTGATCAAACTTGGAGACAACACTCTGGAGATTACATATAAAAGTAAACTTCAGTATTATATATATAATTTTTTGTGTAAGCATACATACGCTTATAGCAAGATGATCTTTCAAAGTAATTTAAGGAAATTAGCATAACTTTCGAAAAGATTGATGGTCCGTTTCAAATTCCTATCTGGATTATATGATAGCTGAAGACCATTGATGTATTAGCTTAAGAGGATGCCGGTCCCGGCATCTGCTGCAAAGACAGCTATTTCATATATGGTAGAGGAATGTTACCTGATTAGGACTCTATAAGATGGTAATAATAATAGTCCCGTTGTTCTCATAGTTCACGATACATTTTTTTTGTTTTGCTTTAGGTAAGAGCAGGGCGTCTTTCTCTCATGAGTGCCTTAGTTATATAGACGCTCTCGTAAATCTGTCTATAATGAATAAAATAACTGCGTTAGGTATAATGTAGAAAAGAATACGGTAACTAGTAGGAATTACACTTGTATTTCATAGTAAACGGTCGTTGGCTTGCTGACAACTCAATACTAAGACACAATATGATTTTTGTCCTATTGGCGTCATTATATGTTTAATCGCGAAAAGAATATGCAATACTATTATTGATGTCATTCTACATTTATTCATACAGTTAGTTATACAGACAGAGTAGCGTTGCAATGCAACCCCCTAATACAGTGTATACTTATTAACTGGGTCTTACGTATCTATAAGTGTAAATATATTGTGGACAAAAAAATATGAAAATAATGAATGAATGAGACCTATGTAGATAGTAAGCAAGCGAATGTTTCTCTGCACCCCCTTCTATGGGAATGCAAAAGAAATTAAAGAATATGCAGGAGCCAAGCATTAAATGCCCTACACCACTTCGGCTAATACATTTCTTTATATATTTTGGTGATAAAACACAAAACATTATACTTTGTATCCATGGGAAGATCTTATAACGGACGACAATGATCAAAGATTAATTTGTTGGTCAGATGTCTTATTGTTCTTCATCTATCTAATTATTTACAAAATTACTAAAAATTCGACATTTTGTCATATGAAGATGTGCTTGTCATTAAATAAAAATAAAATAAAATAACGAGCCGATAGCCTGTGTTGCTAGTGCTCAATGTCTTTTTTTTAGTCTAAGAATTCAATTCATTAGTCTAAAATTAAAATAATAATAATAATAATAATAATAATAATAAATAAAAATAAAAAAAAAAATTATAAATCAATTTAATCAAAATTTAGTATAGTTAATTTTCATGTCAAATAACGATTTTGGGCCAATTTTCATCATAAAATATTAACCTTTAAACATGTTTTCATACGAAGGCTTACTTTTCGGGAAAGAAAAAATCTTAGTGTATCAAATTTCATTAAAATATCTCGAAAATTGCGAGAAAAAAAATAGAATCATACGCATACGCAAATATTTCAATTATAGTCCCTATACATTCTATACATCCACGAATATATTTTTTTGTTTTAATCTGAAAACACAAAGGAACAGTGCACGAATATCTGCAATTGATATTTGACAGTTGAATCGATAGAAAGCCATGAATATGGCGCAAAAATTGAAGTTTTTAAGCAGTTCAAGCATGAAAACTTAGGCATGTGTGGTATGAACAAATGAAACGAAAACGGTGTAGAGGAAGAACTAAAGGCGATTTAATTCACATTTATAACTTCTCAAACTTTATATCCCTAATACGTAATCTTCGCTACGTTATATGATTTGAAAAATTGAATTTGTTTTTTTTTTCTTATTGTTACTTATATTGTTTGTTTACAGTTACATCGATTCGCTTATTTTTATTACTCAATCGATATGGCAAGGCAGGTGAGTGCGCTGTTCGCTGCTGATCGCAAACACAATAAAGACGCGTTCGCTTATTAGGTATATTTGGCCGTAAAATAGTTAACTTGGTGAAAAGTTACGCCCGCCTGCTTTTTACAATTTTATTTGGGAAGTAAAAGTAAATCGATTGAGTAGCTAAAACTAAAAAAGGTCAACATAAATGGAAAAAGACCAATATATGAAAATTGATAATAAGAAAATTAATGTAAAAAATAAATAAGCTTTTTAATTGAGAAGCAAAGATTTAAAACAAGGAGTGGCAGAGTAAGCAAAGGATGTCGACTAACACATCGAGAGTCGTGGGTTCAAATCTCAAATGCGGTAGAGTTTTTCAATACGCCCCATAGTTTGGTTGCTAGCGTCTTAAGACTTCTGATAATAATAATTAAATAATTATAATAATTAAAAAATGTTAATGTTAAAACTTCCAAGATACTGCATGAATGAATTCACAAGCTATATATCGTCGTCAATTTCAGCCAAACGTAGGCTTTTCAGCATACTCACGCCATTATTTCAATATCAAAAATTCATTTTGATGTTTGTGTATGCACTGCGATTTTTTAGATATTTCCAATTGATAAAAAAGATATTTCCGATGCAAATAATAAAGCAAGATTCAGTAATTGCATGAGTAGTAATTCCTAATAAATGTGAACTGAAGAATTTCGCTACAGATTTTAACAATATTGCATAGATGCGATAAAGGGTAAAACACATAAATTTTGCTCGGTTTTTTTTTTTAAACAGATTTTTTCTTTGAAAATTTTTAATCTGGTAATACTTGTTTTTTTAGCTGCGCTTGCTTATTTTTGAAAAAGAAAATGGACGTCTTTTATGAGTAAAGAGGCATGTTTGAATAAATATATTTGTGATATAAATTAGAAAAGATACCGTCATGTTAGTGCAAATATGAAAATGAATTATATATGTATAAATTACATGAAAATATAGAATCAAAGTTTGATTTGTCATTGTCTCGACTTCGTATTATAATGTACAGGATATACAGTGTTGCCACTGAATTATGATTTTCATTTCATCTTATTATAATGCTTAAGACTTCCAATCAAAGCTACGTTATTTCGCTTTTCGGATTAATAAGTCGGAAACGGAAATACATTGAGAAGCTGTGTTACCATATCATTAAATAACACATATAGTTTGAGAAGAAAAACTAAAAAAATCTAGATAAATGTAAACAACAAATATAAACAAAAAATCATGATAAGAAAGTTAATTTAAAAGTGAATTCGATTTTTGACTGATTAATGAAATAAAGAATAAAGTAAAATGACTTCAAAAGACTCCACTGACGCAGTAAAACAAAGCAAAAAAAAAATCGCTTAAATTTATGAATTTGACAAATAAATTTAAAATTGGAAATAAAATGCGTTTATTGCTTTTCATGTTTCCATATGTGATTCTTTTCCAGATGTTTTTTATTTTGTCAATTTTTTTGTAATTTTCCTCAACAATATATACAGCATTGATTTTCTCTTGGTGTAAACATATGATAAGCAGTGAATTCGTTCAACTGCTGTATTTAAATTACTGCCTCTGGCCACACCACTGCCGGATAAGTTACTTGCTGTTTATTAAAGCAAATCTGTAACAATAATTTTCATTCATGCATTCTCGCTTATGAGCAAAGTAAGTTTTACGCTCAAAAATTAGATTTCATATTTTCACCAATGTTTTAGAGCATCCGTATGAAATGTGAAGCAAAGTAAATTTTACTCAGAGCCTCTTAATTCTTATTATTATTATAAATTTAGCCAGAGAATAAAATTCTAAGACTAGCATCTAAGGCTTTCGGCTTTATTAAAAACCGCACTTGAGATTTGAACGCGCGACCATTGATAATTGCTAGTCGAGACTCTTGCCTACTCGACCACTCAGGCAGATCGGAGTCTCTTAATCTTGTGTGGTTGTGTTGTAAATCTGGCACCGTGGCCGTGTGTATTTTGCTGTTACATATTGTTCACATGTATTTGTTGCTACTTCGGTTATTTTTCATAATTTTTATATTATTTATTATTATTACTTTTTAAAATCTTTAAATAATAAATTTGCTTTTTTACATTAAATTAAATGTATTTAAATTAAATTATTTGAATTCTTTAAAGAACTTACTTATCATATTTGGTTGAAAGTTTAAAAGATGACAAGGATATATAACGTACTTGAATTCATTCTCTCATCAAATTTGCTTAAACTTGTGATATTTGTGTTATAAATACAATGAAAAAACTTCACAGTAAACATTTTTTATATTTAAAATTTCTCTTTTTTTTTCATACATATTTTTGGATTGTTATTACTTGTTTTATACTCTGGGTGTTATGGTATCTCTTGTCCTATTGTGCCGTCGGGATATATGTATTAAATTTCGCATTCCTCTTGGCGACGAGTAATAATTATCAATTTATCTCCCATTTTATAATTTAATGGATTGTTCTTTAAAAGTGCATTCCCAGCTAATCTTTCTTTAGCTAATTGCACAATTGCTATACATTTTTGCTCCTATTAATTGGAATTAAAAGAACAGTCACATTCATCATTGACATTGGAGGAGCAAAAGGCAAATTATTGTCCGCTGGAGTGGAGGTACATGCGGCATCTGTAGCCAATATAATGTTGCCACCGGTATAATTTATATATTGTTTTAAAAAGTGCTTAACTCGTACATAGTGGTTTTTATTACCATTTGAAACCTTTAATGTGGTTAACCAATCTTGCTATTTATTTGGAGAAATTTTAAACACAAACCTTTCTTCAACGGATTTATCTCTTCATATTTGCAAATCTGCACTATACGCTCTCTTATATACACGACTACGAATATAAGAAGAATTAAAAGTTGTAAGAAAGATAAACAAATGATCATAAAAGTTTTTAAAAGGAAAAGAATAAAAGATTTCAATTTTCACTCTTTTTCGTTATGAATAATAAAAATTGTTTTTTACTTAGAAATATTGAAATCACTGATTGAAAATCACACCTATTAAAAAATAATAAAAAAAAGAAAATAAACATATGTTTAAGAATCAGGTGTTTCAGTTCTAGAATTACAGATGTGTTTTATGTCTTCTTCTTCTTGTGCTAGTCAACAAACCAACCAACGAAGATTTTATTGCCATCTCTGTGTTTTTTATCAAATAAAAAGAAACGAAAGAAAAAAATAATTGTGAACAACGGATGGCGTTAACGTTATTGTATAAGTATGCATTTTATAAACAGTTTGTTTCTTGTTGTTGTCTTGATCACATGTCATATTTCAAATCGGTGAAAGCGGCAAAATAAGAATCTTGTTAACAATAAATTTTGTTAAATAAATTTATAAATTTTAATTAATTTATATACAAATTGGAAGTTACAGTTAATTAAAAAATATAAAAACATAAATAAAGAAGAAAATATCAAATCTGTATGTGATAGAAATAAAAGGAAAATGTATATTTTATTAATTTTAAATATTTCGATTTTTAATGATAAGTTGAAAATATTTTTTCATTTTTTTTGTGCGAAATAATATACGCAAATATATATATATAAAACTGAGAATAAAACTAAACACAATAAATATTTTGACATATATTTAATTAATTAAAATATATATTTAATGTTTAACTTGCGATCATTTCGTTCAGAAGTGTATTTTTAATTTGCTTTATTAACGGTTGTACCTAAACGTCTTGTTTACTGTCTTAGAAATATATTTAATAAGGACCACAAGAAAAACACATAATCAGTTCATAAGAAATTCCAATGAGCAGTCATATGCGTAGCGAGCGGTAATAATTTAACGGTCATGACAACAACCCTTCATTTAAAACGTTATCAGAAAAAATTCGCAATTATTAAAAAAAATAAATATGATAAATTAAACAAAAAATTCAAAAATATTTTTTAATAAATGAAAATGTTCAAGCATTTAGAAAAATTTCCATATTAAAAACGTAATTATAAAAATAAATCATTTATTTAAAAAAGAAATTTAGATAAACGATTATTTTACCTTTACGTTAGTAAAGATTCGATCAATAGAGAGAAAGAGAGAGAGAGAGAGAGAGACAGAGAGATAGAAAGAGAGAGAGGGAAAGGAAGAGAGAATTAGATCAAAGAACTGAATTTAAGAATTAAAAGTAAAAAATAAAATAATAAAAGTAATTAATTCGCAAAATTTGATGTTTTGAAGATCAATTCAATTATTCTTAACTGCATATACTTTTAAAAACCCTCCTCTCATTTTTTTTTTTTTTGTTTTTTTTTCATATACATATGAGCGAGTTTTTGGCAAATGAGAATTTGAGAATAAGTTTGTTTTCTTTTGTTATTGTTTTTGTTATTGTTAATATACTCACCTCAGCAATGGATAGGGTCATGCTAGATTTTCCATTATGTTTGCTACACTTTGAAGTGAATGTATATCCTTTTTGTCTCTCCATCTGTCCGTTTGCTTTATTATTGTTATTATTATTATTATTATTAAGCTTCTAAATTTGATGCAGGCCCGCTTACAACGATTGGGCAATTGTTGACAGCCAATCAGTCGTTAATATCTAGTAGAGATTTGCAAATTGCTAAGCTAAGTCATGTTTAAGGGTGAACAAAATTCGCTTTAATTGAATAGTTTATAAGTCTTCTTATTTATGTGCTTATAATTTTGATAATATTTTGCTTTTCTTGCATCAATTTTTTTTTTTTTAAAAGATCGTTTAATACTTTCAAAATATTTGCTGCTGTCTAAGTAAAATGCCGTTGCCGCGGTATGCCCAATAACAGAGAATAACAAAAACAATTGCAAAAAATTCATTCGACATTCAATCGACACTCGAAGAGTGAATATATTCTTCTAGAGATAAATGCTTCAATATTCTCCTATAGCTAAGGCAGCCGTTAGATACTATTTTATATAGTTAGTTTATATAGAAAGAAAAATAAGAAGAAGAAGAAGTAAAAAAAAAAAAAAAAAAAAACGAAAAGAGTTCCAAGTTTTTCAAAATCGCTTCATCGATTCAGTTGGTGTTGAAATCTCGCGACGGTTAGTTTAAAATTCTTAAAGATACACATGTATAAATAGTAAAATATTTGCAAGATTCAGAACGAACGAACGTCTTTGAAAAGTGTTCATAATATATAAAGAAAATAAGAAGAAAAAAAAATTAAATTTTTTTTTTTCTGTTAAAAAAAAAAAAATGTGAGCATATATATATATATATATATATACGTCTAAATTTAGATGAATGCATACGTACATGTATCACATAGTTCTAGATACATAATTACTATATATATATATATATATATGTACATATGCATGCATCTACATATTTAGTGAGTGTCTGACGTGATTTTAAAAAGATACGTTATAATTAACCTTCAAGCGAAGAAGAATAAAAACAACGTTAATAATTTAAAAAGTAACTAACTAATAAACTAAGTGTTTTTTAATTTATAAGAAGTGAAAGAAATGTAAAAAACATAAATATATTAAATGAAAATTTTATATTTATATATATACATAATATATATATATACATAAAATGTAAAACATTTTCAAGTGCAATTAAAGATGAGATAATATTATAATAATAACGAAACAAGTTAAATAAATATTTTTTATAACTAACAAAGTACCTTGAATATCCCAACAGGGATCTTGGGTTATATTTTGCCCAATGAAAATTGAATTTATTGCTTGCTGGTAATCGCTATCGTCACTGGATAATGATTTCAAAGCTAAGGATAGTTAATTCATTGATAAAAGTTCTGTTGTCATCATTTTCATATGGAGAGGCGTAGAGCCTAAAAAGAAGTATATGATCTATCAATAGATCGATCGATCGATCGATCGTTGAACATTTTCGAATCAATTTGCGAACCGATTAACTCCTCTATCGGAGTGTTGTTCTAATATCTCAAGTTCAGCGGGAATCTGAAAAAAAAAACATATTCTAAATGGGCGTGACATCTGTTTGCAAAAAAAGCTCTATACTATACTAAAAAGATTGAAAGTAAATTAAAAAATGAGTACGAAAACTTTATCGTCCTTACAGCGTTGCATTCTATAGCAAAAACGATACCTTTGCGATTTACTGACTTCCAAGTAATCAAAAATGTGATGGCTGCGATAATGCTGATCTGATTTACTGATTTCCATAATTAATAAAAAAAACCTACGCTGGAGATAACGGGAATTTAATATTTGCAAGAGCGTAATAAGATCACAGTTTAAGAATAAAATATCAGAAAAAATTAAAATCCCTGAGATTTGATTTATAAAACTATAAGGGATTCTTTGCATCAAAATTATCTCTCATACATATGCAATTACTAACTTATTCCTCTTCTGTTCTCTGTTCTGTGTTCGGGGGGACTTTTGAAGCTTCGTGGGTTACGTATATTCGATTTTCGATTTTTTTTTTTTTTTTTTTTTTTTGTTATGTTGGTACCCATGTCCCCAATATATGTTGACAGCGAACAGGCATTAAAAAAATAAAGAGAAAAAAGAACGGTATAAAAGCGTCAGCTTTATTTTTGAACACACCTCGTATACCCTACGACACTAAAGGGGTATATAAAGGGGATATATTAAGAGCGTGCGGATGTATGCAGCGCCCAGAACGACTTGAGATTGATTTGTTTTTTATGGTACCGTTCAATCCAGAATCACTGTCTGAATCGAGTCAACCTTATCCGTACGTCTGTCCGTCTGCTTGTTTGCCTCGTTTTCTTCTCTTCAATTGATAGGTTGCAATTTTTGAGATATTTTGAAGAAATTTTGGACACCGAAGTACTTTGGCCCAGAAGTAAACGCTCTTGAAAATGGTTCGAAACGGACTTTGTCGTTTTATGAATAACCATAAGTTGGTCTAAAGTATTTAATGCGTTTTTTTATTTTTTTGTATGCGTAACTATTGAAAGAGATTTTTTTGTTGTAAAAATTTCATCTCCTTCCACTTGTTCTTCGATCACAAGCAAGATCGCCTAGTCTGCCTTCAGAATTTTTTTTTAGATTAATTCAAAATATTCTATAAAAACTTGATAGCATATATCTTTGATTTATTAAAATGAATTCTTTGCTTTGATTGATCAACATAAGAAAATCGAATCATTGTGCCAGATACTGACTTAAAAAAAAAAAAAAAAAAAAAAAAGAAAAAAGAACAAAAAAAGATATATAAAAACTTTTTATTTTCTTTTTTGTGTTGTTTCAATAATCTAAAAATGACAAATGTGTTATTAAAGCAGTAAAAAAAAGAAGAAAAAAAAACATTAATGAAAATTGCAAAAAAAAAAATAAATATATATATATATATAACGAAAACTCAACTGAGAAGGTCTAATGAATTTGGGATGTTCGAGACTCAAGAAAACTGCTATTTAAGGCATTTGCGCATTTATAGAAATGTTTATACGTTTTCATATATCTATATATATATATATATGAAAACAAGCATATTTATTCAATCAATTGACATAAGTTTAATTGTTAACCGTTGACATCATTTTGTCGTCATTTTGTGTCATAGGAAGAAAGAAAAAAAGGAAACAATTTTATTCATCTCGAAGATGAATCTCTCTCTTTCTCTTTCTCTTTCTCTCTCTCTCTCTCTCGCTCTCTCTCTCTCGCTCTCTCTCTCTCTCTCTCTCTCTCTCTCACGGCGTTAAATTAATATTTTGACAAAACTATAAAGTAATTTTGTCAAATATGGGCGTAGTAGGAGGCCGACCAAACAACATTTTTGGAAAATATTTTCAACCAATCAAAGTTTTATACCAATCTCTGTCGGTAGGTAAAGTTTTATGCCTGATGCGCGCTTGCTTCCAGGCGAATCGTGTGCGTCGCGCTTTAGTTTTACTTGGTTTTTACCGCTACAAACTTTTCGAACAACAC